CCCAGAAAATTCTTCCTTCTCCCAGTGCCCACTTACACAGGATGGATGCAGCACTGTTGGGGCCTCCATCTCCAGGGCCTCCCACGCTCCCTGACCCGCTGCTCCGTCTGCTGCCGCTCCCTGCGTCCGGACCAGCACTGCTGGATGTGGAGGGCTGAGATGGGGCAGCAGGAGAAGAAGGGCTTGCAGTGGGGGCAGAAGCAGCATTAGGGGCAGAAGCAGCAGATGTTGAATCTTGGACCCTGTAAAGGATAAAAAGCATTAAACTCCTGGTACTGGGGAAGAGCAAGGGGAGTCCTCTACACGGTGAGCAGGCTCCCAGCACAGCAGCCAGCCCAGCTTCTACCCCGTGTCTGCCTGCACTGATGCACAGCTGTGCTCCCAGATGCTTCCATCTGCTGCAATCTGCCTCCATCCTGCAGCACTGCAGCCCCTGACATGTCCTGGCCCACGCAGAGCTCCTGGATGGGTCTTACCCTGAGTTGTCTCCAGCTGTTCCTTGAATCCCACTGAACTATTTACTGCAGCCATATCCTTGAGCAATGAGTGTGCTTCAAACAGCAAAATCCTTCTGCTGCTCCCACAGAAACCACAGGAGGTTACAGCAGGGCTAGTGCATGGGGTAAACAACAATGTTCACTTCTGAATATTCCTATCAGTGCTTCTGGGGCAAAAAGAAGCATCAGCATTACTGTACAAAGAGGGAAACTGAGGCACGAGGCAGCCAGCACCTGTCTCACAAAGCCATGGAACCTTTCTGGCCAGCTGGGCTCCAAATTCCCAGCTCTGCCACTGGCTGCACCTTGATGCAAGGCTCCTGCTCCAACACAAATTGTCTGGAGCTGCTTTTAACCCACCAACACAGACACTGTGCTGTAAGCCACCACACAGCAGGTGCTGGACATCAGCTTTGCTGAATACACCAACCCAGGTTAGCACCTTCTTACCACAGTTATCCTCAAGAGTGTTACAGGAATATGGAAGAGAACATTTAAAGATTTTCTGAAGCCTGTGCAGTCACAACAGTGAGCCTTGGACTAGTGCTGAAGAGCTTTCATTAAATTAGACCACAAAATTCACTTTACTCACCTCAATAATGCTGTTATGCCTCTGACAATAAGAACAATTAATTCCTGATGGTTTTTTTCCCCCAAACCAAGAATTACTCATTTTTTTATCTCCCTTCTTTTTTCACTCTTCTAAAACTTGAAAAATCAACCCTGAAGGTCCCTGTCCACTGTCCAGACTAACCTGAGTGCTGCTGAAAACCAGTGGCCACTGAGAGAGGCAAAGAGTGGGAAAACAAAGCAAATGGGAAGCTGAGTAAGAAAGGAAGAAGGAAGCCAGAGAAAGGGCACTTGGTTTCTCTCAGCCTCTTCCCCCAGGAAGAGGCTGTAATGTCCTCAGTAAGGACTTTTCTAGAACTATTAGCAGGAGAAAAATGAGCAGCCCAGGACAGCTCTGATTCCCTCTTTGCAATGGCTCACCAATACCAACATTTATAGTGGAGACAGCAGAAACAGCACCAGGCTCTCAGGCTGCCTGGAGAGGCAGAATCCAAGGAGAGGCTGCAGAACCTGGCAGCAAACTTCCTTGTCTTTGTAAAAGAACAGGTGGAATTAAAAAAAAAAAAACAAAAACAAAGGGAAAAAGCCCATCTTGATTAATGCAGCTCCCCCAGGGGATAGAAGAACTGCACAGAGACACAGCCCTGGAGCTCCTGGGAGCTGGGGCTCACTGTGGCCAGAGCCTGAGGCATGGCTGTGAAGGGCCTTCCAAGATCAATGAAATGTGGCTGCAACTAAAGCACAGCAGCTGTTCCCAAAACCCTTCCATGCCCACCACCCCTCTGGAAAGGGCTGGGAAGAGCCAAACCTGCAGGACCCTGAGGTCAGCCCTGTGTCCTGTTCTCAGTCTGAGCTCTGTGGTGCTCCTGAGCCACATCCCCACAGGGAACATCCCCCCAGGGGCAGCCACATGAGTGAAGCCCACAGTGCCCCGTGGCTGCACAGCATCCACTGCCTGCACCAGCCTGAGCAGCTGTGCCTGCAGGGCACCTCAGAGAGGTGCCAGAAAACCCAGGTATTAACACAAATTCACTGGGAAAGTAATTTCTTTTATCAGCAACTTTTCCTACAACTTTTGCTGGTTTGCTAGAACCAGTATCCATTTCTGATGGGCTCTTCCAAGACACACACACGAGTAATGTTAAAGGACCTGCCATACACCATCACAGCTGTGTCATCCATGGACAGGTTAGTGACAAACCCCACAGCTGGGGCAGGTAAAAATCACCACAATCAGTAATTCCCACCCCCATTTGACCCCAGCCCCCCCAAAACCAAGCTCTTACTTCTGCGGAGTCTTAATGACCAAGTGAACAGTGAGCCCATCTTTGATCCCATGTTGATTCAACGTGTCTCCATCCTTCAGGATCTTCCCAGCAAAGATCAGAACCAGCTGATCCTGTTTGGCTTTAAACCGTCTAGAAATCTCTTCTTTGAACTGAAAAACAAACAGCATTTTTCAGGCAAAGGATTGGTAGCAGGAACATAAAGCTCCAGGGCTGATTTGTAGTCTAGGAAGAGCCCAAGGAACTGAGCAGCCCTCAGAGCCCATGAAGGTACCACACAGTCACCAGTTGTTGATGATGTCTGAGGTGTTAATGAAAACCAAACCAAAGCAAAGACAAGCTCTGAAATCACAAACTATGGAGGAAATCTCAGGAAAAACCAGAGCCATTCCCTCAGAAGAGGCCGAAGGAATTCCCTGAAGGCTTCCAAAGCCAGACCAGTTGTGCTTCAGGCCTAACCCAAACACACCTTCTATGCTGAATGACTGAACTGGTTTCATCTGCTCATTTGAGTTTTGTTTTTTTTTTTTTTTTTCCTAAGGAAAGCCAAGCTCTGATTTAATACAGGACAGAGCTCTATGGAAAAGGCAATAATCCTTTATCAGCCAATGGAAATAAACTAGGTCTTCTCCAATTCCTATTTCTGCAACTGAATTCCCTGTGAGCATGCCATGGAGCATGGACACCTCATCCTTACTGTGTGCTGGGATTTACACCTGCAAGCAAGGCTCTCACTGCTGGCCCTGCCAGGGCATCCCCAGATTGATTTGGAGGAAATAAAGCCTTGCACTTGGAAAACACAAACTAAAGGGAATTCAGAGGGCAAGGCCAGGATGGAGAGTGAAACACACGCTGGTTACAGAGGGGAAGGGAATTTGATGAAAACACAAAGTAAAGGGAATTCAGAGGGCAAGGCCAGGATGGAGAGTGAAACACACGCTGGTTACAGAGCTCTCAGCCTTCCCAGCAGAACTCTAAAATCAAGGCTGGGCACAGCACAGCCCTGGCCCCAGATCACCCTGTCTGTGTCTCTCCCCACCCAGCTCCGTGCCCTCCCTGCACAAAGCCCCCTCTCCACACCCCCTTACCAAGGGGCTCCCCCCGAGGGAAAGGATCAGGAGGGCCACACGTGCACAGCTCCTGCTCCCAGCATGAACTGCTGCCCAGAGATCCCTGCCAGGCCCTTCACACGCCGACCTCGTGCCCTACGCCCGACCAAAGCGCCAGCCAGCCCAAGGCAGAGCCCATGACACCTTGTCCCAGTGGGCATCGCCACTTCCTCAACGCCAGGACCAACCCTTAAGCCCGCCCCTGCCAATCGCAGCCTTTGCTAAGCGCAGCTCTTGGCAATCCCAGCCCTCTCCCGCTCCCTAGCAGGTGCACGGCCCCCCCCCAGCCCACCCGATGTTTGCTTTCCTCCACCTCACGCAACGCTGGCCCCAAACATCTGCCCGGCGAATTTCCCTCCAGAGAAGTCCAGACGCACGCCAGGACCCCCAGATATCCCCCCGGCAGCCCCCCACGCACCCAAGCGCCTCTGCCCACAAGCCCAGCACCTTTCCCAGCCCTCCGCCCAGGGAACGCTCTCCCCCGCAGCCCAGCCCACGGGCCGAGCCCCCAGACCCCACCCGGTCCTTCCCACCGCCACCGCCCCCCAGGCCGCTCTCCGAGCCCCTCAACTATTGTGGTTTGGACACCTACGACCCCTCCCACAGGTGAGCCCCCCCAGACCACCTCCAGACCCCTCCAAAGGCCTCTAGCACCTGCCCTCCTTCAGATCTCCCCGCTCCCTCCCACCCTGGCTCCAGCAAGGCCCAAAGGCCGGGGCTGCCCCGAAAAGCCCCCGAACGCAGCCCCAGCCCTGATCCGGGTCTTCAAGAGGTCCCCCGGACCCTCTGACCGCCCCCCAGCCCACAGCACCCTTCCCCCGCTCCTCATGCGCGCCCGAAATTCCTTCCCGGCCCCAAAACTCAGGCCCCTTCCCAAAAACCCTTTACGGCACCCCTGGATCCCTCAGCCCCCGCGGAGAAGCCGCCCCCGCCCCTAAGCACCCGCGGCAGCGCCCCCCAGGCCTCTCCGCCTCCCCGGCCTGCAGCCGCCCCCACCTCGCGCACGGAGGCGCCATCCGCAATGACGATCTCCTCCTTGTCCTTGGGGGTCTTCACGGTTACGCGGATGAGCGCCCCGCCGGGCCCCGCCTGGCCCTCCCCGCCAGACCCGGGGCCGGGGCCGCCGCCGCCGCCGCCGCCACTCGGCTCCGCCATCTTCGCCGCCCGCCGCCAGCCCGGGCCACCGCCACCACAGAGAGCCGGGAGCGGCGCCACAGCACCGCCTCGGCCCGGGACAGCGCCTCCCTGCGGAGCGGAGGAACAGCGGCAGCGCGGGGCGCGGAGGCGGAACGGGAGCGGAAAGAGGCGGCCGGAGCCTGGGGCGGGGGTGCCGCCGGTGCCCCTACCGATCCCTCTTTCACCGACCCCCCTTTCACCGGCCCCATCCCCGCTCCCCGCGGTCACCTGCCCCGCGCTCCCTTCTGCTGCCGAGGCCCCTCTGGAGTCCCGGTGTCCACGAGGACAGCGGAGGGGTCCGGGCGGGACTACAGCCCCCAGAATGCTCCGGGCCCGGCGCGGCCCCGTGACGGCGCGGCCCGGCGCGGCCGCACCCCCGCCCCGCGGTGCCGGCGGCGGCCATGCTGCGGCCCAAGGCCCTGACGCAGGTGCTCAGCCAGGCCAACACCGGCGGCGTCCAGAGCACGCTGTGAGTGCGGGGAGCCGGGCGGGGGGCGCCTTTCCCCGAGCGGGCACCGCGGGCACCGGGCGCTCCGTGATGCGGGGTGACGCCACTGAGGGGAGATGCTTTCCCTGCCCGGGAATGTTTCCCTCGTACCGACCCCGGCAGATACGCCCGCTGTCCCGGCCCCAGGGGATGCTGCCCCTGCCCGGAGATGCTGCCTGACACTCCCCCGTCCCTGTCCCTGCTCCTGCCTCGGTCATGCTGCCCCTGTCCCTGCACCGGGGGATGCTCCCCGCTCCTGCCCTGGGAATGCTGCCCCTGCTCAAGGATGCTCCTGCCATTCCCCAGCCCCTGCTCCTGCTCTTGCCCCTTCCCAGGGATGCTCCCTGTGTCTGCCTTGGGAAGGCGAGGGGCCAGGCCCTTCCAGGGGCAGGCATGGGGCTGACACCACGCACCCTGCATGGAGCTGGGCTACAGATGGTGCTGGCACTGTGCACAGTGTGTGGGGCTCCTGATGCCTGGTGCTGGGATGCCTCGTGCACAGTGCAAGGGACATGCACAGAGCTGGGGTTTTGCACAGTGTTTGTCCCCCAGGCTCATGCCCAGCCTGTGGCAGGTCCTACTGCTTCAACAGACAGATCCTGCACTGCCCTGCTCGGGCCTGGGGACACTGCAGAGCTTTCTGGCTTTGAAGCCCCTCACCCCCTGCCAAAGCCCTGCAGATTGGGATTGTGTTGAGAACAGTGCTTGGGACTGCTGGGGAGGTTTGTTCTTCCCCTGGTGCTGAAAGGGGGGTCTGGTGTTAGAGGCATCAGTTTGCCCTGCTGTGTCCTTGCCAGGCTGCTGAACAACGAGGGCTCCTTGCTTGCCTACTCTGGCTATGGGGACACTGATGCCAGGGTCACTGCAGCCATCGCCAGCAACATCTGGGTGGCCTATGACAAAAACGGGCACCAGGCGTTCAATGAGGACAACCTCAAATTCATCCTGATGGACTGCATGGTATGTGGGGCTGGAGCCTGCCCTGCCCTCCCTGGGGACGTGCCCGAGGTGCCAGGACCCTGCTGGGGCTCCAGGCCAAGCTGGGGTGCAATGGGTGCTGTTTCTCCCTGGGCAGGAGGGGCGAGTGGCCATCACACGGGTGGCAAACCTGCTGCTCTGCATGTACGCCAAGGAGACGGTCGGATTTGGGATGCTGAAAGCCAAGGTAAGGGCTGGGGAGGCTGCAGGGCTGCATCCCTGCTCTGGTGTGGGGAGGAGCTGTTGAAGAGCATTGGGGTGGAAGGGCTGGAGGAAGCTGCCGTGCCTGGGCCACTCTTTGCACCTTGCAGAGACTCCTCCGTCCCCCCTGTGCCTGCCCTGACACCTTTTATGACACCTTTTTAGGGTTCTAAACTGAAATATAAATGACAATAAACAAGCGGGCAGTGGGCACACGTGTTGCCAAGCCCACCTGAGCCTGGCTCATGGCATTCTCTGCTTGCAGGCACAGGCACTGGTGCAGTACCTGGAGGAGCCACTCACGCAGGTGGCTGCATCGTGAGCAGGCAGGGGAGGGCCTGACAGCATCACCATCACCACCATGGGCTGGGCAGGAGTGGCCCCACAGGCATCCCAGAGCTCCAGTGTGGTCTGAAAAATAAGGTGGCAGGAATCCAGAATCTGGGGTGAATAAAAGTGTTTGATGCTTGTGTCCATTGTGTCTGTTGTTGGGGGAGCTGAGGGGTAACACAGCCAGACTGGGCTGGAGGTGCCTGGGTGTCTTGGTTTCAAAAGACAGGTGTTTGCTAGTGGAAGGCAGGAGCTTCTTCTGAAATGGAAAATGTAACCTTCCCCCTGCCTTTTTCCAAATTGCTATAAATTTTAAATTAAGGGGCTCTCAGGCAAAAAAAAAAAAAATATATATATATATATATATATATGGGAGCAGGGAATAACAGTTCTTTAATAGGGAAGAAAATAAAAAGATAAACATTGCAGTAAACTTAACACTGACAGAGTCAGAACCCAGCCTGACACCCTCTTGGTCGGGGTGTTGGTAGCAGTCCCATTGGAATTGTGGCTACAGCCCTCCTGGAATGTCAGGGGTGGTTCTGGTGGAGCAGGAATCTTGTAAAAGTCCAATTGGAATCGTGGCTGCAGCCCTCCTGCAGTGTCAGGGGTGGTTCTGGTGGAGCAGGGATCCTGTAGAAAAGGTGCACTCTTCTTCTGACGATCCAGGGGAAGAGAGCAGCTGTTCCTCTGGGAAATCCAGTAGAGAAAAGCCGTGCTGGTGTTCCAGCATCTCCAGATTCTATCGGGGTAGAATGCTTGGCTCTCCCCTCTGGGTGGAGCATCTCACACGGGGATGCTGTAGTTCTTATCGGTCATGCAGTGATATTCAGTAGCCTGTTATCAGCAGATGTCTCCCCAGTTGTGGAAGAGATAAGGAAAACTGCCCACTTAACAGAAGACAACTGCCATACTTATGGTAAATAGAATACAATTCGCTTGACAATCCTGGACGCTGGGCAGTGTTTGGGAGGTGCCCATTGCCCTGAGGAAAGATAAGAAGTTGCAAGGGGCTGTTGTCAAAGGAGAGGGGTTTCAACCGAGCCGAGCCCCAGCACAGCCCTGCTGGTCACACTGGGGTAGCTGGGGGTGCTGGGGGCTCCTTCCCATCCTTATTTCCATGGCTTTCACACGATGGCAGCAGAGGCGAGGATTGAGAGCGGTGGGAGCCGGGCTGAGCGGGGGTTCTGCTCCTGGCACAGCTGCCCCCGATGCCATCGCACCCGTCCCCTCGCCGTGCTGCCCTCCCGGCCGTGCCACCCTCCCTGTGATGCCCCCACGTCCTGCCCGCGCACTCTCCCTGTCCCTACAGCACACGAAATAACACGACACGCACACACTGCTGTTCTCAAGGCAAAAAAGAGACGTTTATTTTCTGACTCCAACATTTACAGATTTCCAAAAGTGACAGTGGATTGGAGGGTGACAGTGCCACCTCTCCAGTGCCACTGGACAATGCAACAGTCCGTCAGATTTCTCCTCCTCCAGAAAAGAATGCAAAATTACAGAAAGCGTGTGAGAAACTTCGTTGCAAGAATGTAAACATCAGAAGGCTTGGAAAATCTTAAAAAATCAGGGCAACACCCTCCCTGCCGAGCTGCCCGTGATGCCCCCGGTGTCCTGTGCGCACTGTCCTGGCACCTTCTGTGCCCACGGTGCCCGTACTGTTGATGCTGCCCTCGCTGCCCCAGCCTGCCCGTGCTGTCGGTGCTGCCCTCCATGCCCACACTGCCCGTACTCCTGGTGCTGCCCTCGCACCCTCCGTGCCCACGCTGCCGGTGCTGCCCTCCCTGCCCGTGCTCTTGGTGCTGCCCTCGCACCCTCCCTGCCCGTGCTGTCGGTGCTGCCCTCCATGCCCTCCCTGCCCGTTCTGCCGGTGCTGCCCTCGCTGCCCCAGCCTGCCCGCACTCGGGATCGTGCCCTGGCTCCTCCTCCAGCCGCCCCGTGACGGTCCCAGGGGTGACATTACCTGCCCAACCTGCGCTGCGACACCCGGTCCCACCCCTTGAGTCAAGCGGCCGCGCTGTCGCCAGCTCGGCCTCTCCGTCCCCGCTGTCCCGGACCCTCCGCTGCCCCGGACCCCCTCGCTCCCGGCACAGAGGAACCGTCGGTCGCTCCGTGCCCTCCCTCGGCGGCGCCGGGAGCCCGGCCCGCCCCGCCGGGTGCTCGAGGCTCGGCAGCGGGAAGGAGGAAAGGCAAAGGCAGGGCGGCCCTGCAGGGCGGGCGGCGACATGGGCAGCGCCGAGGAGGATTATAACTTTGTCTTCAAGGGTGAGTGCTGCGCTCGGTGCGACCCTCCCTTCCCCAAAAGGAGCGGAGCAGAAATCCAGGGGCTGCGGGGAGGGAACCAGGGTGCCCTTTCCGCAGGGCGCCTGTGCCCTGAGCTGCCCTGCTGCTGTGGTGGGCATCGGGAGCTGCGTAGGGTCAGGGCACTGGGGGGCAGGCACGCTCTGCTGACAGCAGTGAGGCCAGCCAGGGCTGGTGAGAGGCAGCAAGGTCCACAGAGACCCGGGGGGATCCACACTCACCCCAAGGCTGGAGGTGTGCAGTGCCAGGCAAATTGCTGTTATGGGATAGGAGGGGCTGTGAAAGCTGGGGCTGAGTGTGTGAGATGAGAGCCTGTAAGCCCTGAGAAGAGTGGGCATTGAAAAGTCATTTGCTGCAGTGACCTGGGCAGTGGCACATACAGAGGGCATGGGGGTCAAAGCTGAGCTGGAGAAATGGGGGCACAGCCTCACCCTTCCCATGCTGAGCTCCTTGGGCCCACCTGGTCACTGCCAGGTGCCATTGGCTGGACTCTGCTGGGGCTCAGTGCTCCCTTTGGGTGAGTGGGGACACACAGGCTCTGGTGTGGCACCTGTCCTGGGTGCCCACTGCAGCAGGGTGACCCAGCAGCCATGACCCCCCTGACCAGCACTAGGGAGCACAGCTGGGCTCCCACGGTGACCCTGTTTGCTGAAGGGGTGACCTCACCAGGGGTTAAGCCCACACAGCTGCCCAGTTTGGGGCACCAGACAAAGCCAGCGATGCCTGTGCAACCAGTGCTGGTAGCTGGGGCAGCACAGTGAGATTGATTGATTGATTGATTTCTTTCCTCCTTCCTTTCTTTCCTTTCTCGTCTTTCTTTCTCGTCTTTCTTTCTCGTCTTTCTTTCTCGTCTTTCTTTCTTTCTTTCTTTCTTTCTTTCTTTCTTTCTTTCTTTCTTTCTTTCTTCCTTCCTTCCTTTCCTTTCTCTTCTTTCTTTCTCTTCTTTCCTTTCTTTCTTTTCTTCCTTCCCTTCTTCCTTTCCTTCCTTTCCATTCTTTCTTCCCTTCCTTCCTTCTTCCCTTCCTTCTTCCCTTCCTCCCTTCCTTCCTCCCTTCCTTCCTTCCTTCCTTCCTTCCTTCCTTCCTTCCACCCTTCCTTCCACCCTTCCTTCCTTCCTTCCTTCCTTCCTTCCTTCCACCCTTCCTTCCACCCTTCCTTCCACCCTCCCTTCCACCCTTCCTTCCTCCCACAGTTGTGCTGATCGGGGAGTCTGGGGTGGGAAAAACAAACCTGCTGTCTCGTTTCACCCGCAACGAGTTCAACCACGACAGCCGCACCACCATCGGCGTGGAGTTCTCCACGCGCACCATCCTGGTGGGAGACGCCGCGGTGAAGGCTCAGATCTGGGACACGGCCGGGCTGGAGCGCTACCGCGCCATCACCTCCGCGTAAGGACCTCAGAGCCTGCTCTGCTGGGGCTTGGCTGCAGCCCCACGGGTGAGGGTGGGAGCAGGGAATGATGCTGGGGTTCTCTCTCAGGTATTACCGGGGGGCTGTGGGCGCTCTGGTGGTGTTTGATATCACCAAGCACCAGACGTACGATGTGGTGGACCGCTGGCTGAAGGAGCTCTACGACCATGCTGAGGCCAGCATCGTTGTCATGCTGGTGGGGAACAAGACTGACCTTGCACAGGCTCGAGAGGTGCCCATGGAGGAGGCCAAAATGTTTGCAGGTACAGGCTGGCACCCCCCAAAGGGCTGGGGGCTTGAGAAGCTCCCCAGCAGCGTGGACCTGCACCAGTGCAGGCACCTGAACACCTCTAAAGGTGCTCCAGATTGGAGCCATGGGGTCTGCATCATCTCAGGGGTCTCCTGTCCTTGCAGACAACAACGGGCTGCTGTTTGTTGAGACCTCGGCGCTGGACTCCACCAATGTTGAGGAAGCATTTGAGACCATCCTGAAGGGTACAGGCACTGGTGCTGTGATGCAGCAGGTCCCAGGGCATTGCAGGGTCCCTTTCCCAGGGGTGCAGGGCTGGGCAGATGATGTGCAGCACTTCGCTCCCTGCTCCACTTGAGCTATTTGGGGCTATTTTCATGAGGTCTTTTGGTGTTGCCTTTCTGTCTGCTTTGGTTTTCAGCCTTTGGTGCTGGGCGTTTCACTCCCCACACCCGAAGCTTTGTTCTCACAGCCCCTGGGCATCCCTGAAGCCCCAGGGGCTGCTTCTCCCCCATAATCTCCAGTCTCCTTCCTGTTGTCCTGGGCTCATGACTTGGTGTCTCCAGCATCCTGCCAAACCAGCTGTGGGGACCTGGGGGGCCAGGGATGGAGTGCAAGAGCAGCTCTCCAGGAATGGCACCAGCAGCATCCAGGCAGTGAGGTGTGCCATGCCGTGCTGAGCCGTGCCAAGCCATGCAGTGCTATTCCATGCCATGCTGTGCTGTGCTGAGCACAGCCTGGCCCAGTGAAGCACTAATCCCAGGTTGGGCAAGAGGAAATGGCCCAAGCACAGGAGGGTGTTCCCCAAGCGCTGCAGGGATGCAGGCCTCGTCCCTTGTTGTTTTTATCTTATTGCAAAAGTTCCATACACTCTTGGTGATTGCTCATGGGCAGATCCTCACAGCACTGACTCCTTCTTCCTCACAGCACAGCCAACAAACTCCAGCTCTCTTCTTGACCATCTAACCCACTCTTTTATAGCACTCATCCTTTCTGTGGCCTATTAAGAGCAGGCCTGTTCCTAATCTTTGGTAATTAGTACAGCTGCAACTCCTCAGAGGTGAGATTGCCTTCTGCACTGTTCTCTTACATTCTGTCCCTCCACATCTTGTCACCCCTGTGCTGTGTAGAGGTGATGGAGAGCCACCAGCACACCGAGCAGGCTTGAAGCTGTCCCTGCATGCCCAGGGGGCTTTGCCTGACTCACAGACCTCCCCACCAGCACTTCTTCTTTTGCAGAAATCTTCCACAAAGTGCAGAAGCAGAAGCAGAGGAGCAGCCAAAGCAACACGGTGTCACTTGCAAGTGAGAACCCTGCAAGCACAGCCCCAGCACAGGCAGAGAGGCGCCCATGCTGCGTGGCCCTCTGAGCACCCCAGGATGTCCCCAGGGACCCCCACAACCCCGGGACACCCCAGTGGCCACCAGCACCCGCTGGTGTCACCCTGCCTGCAGTGCCACCCCTGTCCTGGTGCAGTGGGGTCCAGCAGCCTGGACAGGGGTTGAATTGTGCCATAAACAGTGAGAAGCACCAGTTCCAGGAGCTCTTCTCTCTCTGTTGCGTTTTTGCTGGGCCCTGATTAGCATCACCACTGTCACGCTCCGTTCCAGCCCTTCTGGACCTGCAGGGGAATAATGACCAGGACACCCTCTGGGGAAGAAGCCAGTAGGTTCTGGGCAGGATCATGCCAGCAACAGGAGCCTCTCTGATTACCTGTGGCCCTGGGGGTGCTCCTGTAGGGCCACCCTGTGCCCTGCACTGAGGATGAGGCTGACCTACAGGTGTCTGTCCCACCAGCGACTGCCCTGGGGTGTGAAGTGGCAGCACTCAGCCCTTGGCTGTCCCAGCAGGGCCCGGTGCCACGGGGCAGGGAGCAGCTCTGTGTCCAGCAGGGGCGTGACACAATCATTAAAGGACTTGTGAAATGCAGCTTTACTGAGCTGGAATTCCTGCGTGTTTGTGGTCCACGCCCTGGGTCTCCCCACCTTCATAATGTGCTGAAGATCGTGGCCTCCAAAGCTGCCCAGCTGGATGCCAAGGCTCCCTTGTGCCCCCTCCTACCCCGATGCCATGGCCCCCTGTGCCCCTTCCCACCCTAAAGCTGGGCTCATCCTGTGCCCCCTCCCACCCTAAAGCTGGGCTCATCCTGTGCCCCTTCCCACCCTAAAGCTGGGCTCATCCTGTACCCCCTCCCACCCTAAAGCTGGGCTCATCCTGTGCCCCCTCCCACCCTAAAGCCGTGTCCCCTGTGCCCCTTCCCACCCTAAAGCTGGGCTCACCCTGTGCCCCTTCCCACCCTAAAGCCGTGTCCCCTGTGCCCCTTCCCACCCTAAAGCTGGGCTCACCCTGTGCCCCTTCCCACCCTAAAGCTGGGCTCATCCTGTGCCCCCTCCCAGCCTAAAGCTGGGCTTATCCTGTGCCCCCTCCCACCCTAAAGCTGGGCTCATCCTGTGCCCCCTCCCACCCTAAAGCCGTGTCCCCTGTGCCCCTTCCCACCCTAAAGCTGGGCTCATCCTGTGCCCCTTCCTACCATAAAGCTGTGCCCCCTTCCACCCTAAAGCCATGCTTCTTTGCCCCTTCCCACCCTAAAGCCGTGCCCCCTGTGCCCCCTCTCCACGCAGCCTTTCCCGGTTTGGGTGCCCTGTTTGATCTTTATCAGTTCAGACGATGACGCAGCCTCTGCCGGTTATCTGAAACCCCTCGGAATCGGGATAATTCCCGCTGGATTCTCGCGTCTTCCTTCCCTCGATTTCCCTCTGCAGCAGCCCCGCTCCGTGTCCCACGCACGGCTCTGTGCGGGGCGCCCTGTCCCCATCAGGAGCGCACACAGGTGCTGGCGTGTCCCTGCCCCCCTCACCTGCCCAGGTGAGCACACCTGAGTGTGACGGGCAGCCCCAGCCACCAATGGGTGCGGAGCAGGAAAGGCTGTGGCCACCAATGGGTGCTTGGGGACAGCCCCTGGCAGGGCTGGAAAGGGCCGGAAATCCCAGTTGGCCCAGTGGGAGCGGGGCTGTGGTGCTGGGAGAGATGCGGGGCAAGGACGATGAGTACGATTATCTCTTCAAAGGTGGGTCTGCTGCCCGTGCCCGCCGTGCCCGTGCCCGGTCTGAGCCCGCTGCGGGCACCCCTGGCGTGGGACGGGGGCTGGGGCTTGGACTGGGATGGAGCACTCAGCTCCCAGTTCATAGAAAGGGGCTTGGACTGGGATAGAGCACTCAGTTCCCAGTTCATAGAGGGAGGCTTGGACTGGGATAGAGCACTCAGCTCCCAGTTCATAGAGGGGGACTTGGACTGGGATAGAGCACTCAGCTCCCAGTTCATAGAAAGGGGCTTGGACTGGGATAGAGCACTCAGCTCCCAGTTCATGGTGGGGGTTTGGACTGGGATAGAGCACTCAGCTCCCAGTTCATAGAGGGGGGCTTGGACTGGGATAGAGCACTCAGCTCCCAGTTCATGGGATGGGAAGGGGCTTGTACTGGGATAGAGCACTCAGCTCCCAGTTCATAGAGTGGGGCTTGGACTGGGATAGAACACTCAATCCCAGTTCATAGAAAGGGGTTTGGACTGGGATAGAGCACTCAGCTCCCAGTTCATAGAGGGGGGCTTGGACTGGGATAGAGCACTCAGCTCCCAGTTCATGGTGAGGCTTGGACTGGGATAGAGCACTCAGCTCCCAGTTCATGGGATGGGATGGGGGGGTTTGTTGTGGTGTTCCAGTGAGCTCTGAAGGAGGGTGGGTGCTGGTGAGGCTGAGGTGTGGCCATGGCAGGGTGGCTGTGGTGGTGGCAGGGTGGCTGTGACCATGGCAGGGTGGCTGTGGTGGTGGCAGTGTGGCTGTGACCGTGGCGGGGTGGCTGTGACCATGGCAGGGTAGCTGTGACTGTGGCAGGGTGGCTGTGGCCATGGTTGTGACCATGGCAGGGTGACTGTGACCATGGCAGGGTGGCCGTGGTGGGGTGGCTGTGACTGTGGCAGGGTGGCTGTGACTGTGGCAGGGTGGCTGTGGCCATGGCCAGGGCAGGGTGGCTGTAGCCATGGCTGTGACCGTGGCAGGGTAGCTGTGACTGTGGCAGTGTGGCTGTAGCCATGGCTGTGACCGTGGCAGGGTGGCTGTGACTGTGGCTGTGACTGTGGCTGTGACCATGGCAGGGTGGCCACAGCCAGGGCAGGGTGCTGGGGAGGGCTGCTCCGTGGGGCTCTGTGGGTGCTGTGTCACCCCCTGAGCACCCATGGGTGCTCTGCAGTGCTGGGTGAAGGGAGCACAGCTGAGAGCCGAGTGCTCTCCCCCAGGAGAGGAACCCCAGCTGCAGAGCAGGGAGAGCACCCAGGGATCCTTCCTGGTGCTGGTCATGCTCTGACCTCTCTGCTGTGCCCAGGGAGGGTGGGGGACAGGGACAGGCTCTTGGAGACACGACACTGGCATTTCTGCCTGGCACCCCCATCCTGTGCATGCCACGCGCTCTGCTGTGGCCAAAGCAGTGCTGGGGGAGCAAAGGGACATCTTGGCAATGCCACAGCCTCCTGAGCCATAAAACCCAGGGTGTGAGCTCACCTGTGAGTCAGCCTACCCACACGGGCCTGCCCGCAAGGCCCTGAGTAATTCCAGCCAGCGCCAGGACGTAATTCCAGCCCCTGGCTCCCTGCACACCTCCCCTGGCTGCTGCCCAGGAAAATCCTCCTGCCTGGAGTTACTCTGGCACCTGCTTGGGGGAAGCTCTGGTGCTGAGTGGTGCCTGGAGTGGGATGCCCAGGCAGGAGCTCTCCCAGCTGCTTTGTTCTGCGTTTCCCAGCCGGTGCTGGGCCAGCTGCGTGGCTCTGAGGGGCCTTCAGCACATGGTGCTCCTGTGTCTGTGCATCCCCTGTTGTTCTTCCCCTGGGAGCAGCTCACCACAGGCTCTTCGTGCCCCTCCTGGGTCTCAGGGTGGTCTCTGGAGCCCTTAAAAGAATAGGAGAACTCAGTTTTCAATGCAAGGGCAGCTCATCCCTTCCAAAGCAGGAGCAAAGTCAAATGGAAACGCAATGTCCAGGGCCTTGGAGCCGGGCTAGTGCTCCCAGGGTCCAGCAGAGAAAAGGCAGAAAAGGGAGATGGGCACAGCTGGAAGCAGCATTAAATCCCCAGTTGCACTGAAATGGGAGCATCAGCAAAGCACAATGCACATTGCAGCTGTGCAAGGTCCCTTCCTGTGCTGCTGGAGGGTGGCTGAGGAGCAGCTCTGGCCATGGCTGCTCCTCACACCCTTCCTTGCAGCCCTGTGAGGAGCTCCAGGCTGTTTCCATCCCTGCAGGGAGGACACAAAGTGCCAAATGCTCTTGTGCCTGGGCTAGGGGCTGCTGCTCCAGCTCCTGAAGCCATCCAAGCTCGGGGACAGGGGCTCATCACCCCCACAGGCTGCAGCACCCACCCTGCATGCCTGGTGTGGCCCCAAGCCCTCTGGAGCCTGCCTTGGAGCGTGGTGGCACTGCCAGGATGGGCCCTGTGGCAGTTGGGCTGGGGAAGCAGCAATTTCCTGTCGGTAAAAAACCGAGCTCGCATCAAAACTTCGAGGCAGGGAAAGTGCTAACGAACCTGGCCTGCGTTTCCTGCTGCCTTCTCCAGGGTGATCCAGGTTGCCATGGTCCTCTCAGACCTCCCTGCAGTGGGCAGCAGCTGAGAATTGTCCCCAGCAGCTGGGAAAAGGGTGAGGGGGAGATTCTGCTCCACTCTGGTGAGGTCTCCCAGCACAGGAAAGGTGTGGAGCTCCATGAAGAAGTTGAGGAGGCCACAGAGATGCTCCAAGGGCTGGAGCCAGGCTGGGGGAGCTGGGGATATTCAGCCTGCAGGAGAAAAGGCTCTGGGAATGCCTCAGAGCCCCTTCCAGAGCCTTAAGGGGCTCCAAGGGAGCTGGAGAGGGACTTTGGATAAGGGATGGAGTGATAGGACAAGGGGGAATCCTTCCTGCTGCCAGAGGGCAGGGATGGATGGGATTTTGGGAGGGTGGGGAGGCCCTGGCACAGAGAAGCTGAGGAAATGTCCATGGTCAGGCTGGACATGGCTTGGAGCAACCTGGGATGGTGAACCAAGGGGTGGAACAAGGTGGGGTTTACTGTCCCAGCCACCCCAAGCATTCTGTGCTGCAGTGGAGGGGCTGCCCCTGGCTCCTTCTCTGGCTGTCCTGGCACGCTGCAGTGCTCCCACAGAGCTGCTCCAGTTCCTGCTGGGTTTCCTGGCACCAGCCTGAGGGTTTTGTCAGCTGCACTGGTGGAGGCTTTGCACCATGCAGGGCAGCCACAGCTACGAGCTGGAGCTGGGGGAAGGAGTTACCCAGGCCATGGAGCTGCTGCTTCCACAGGGCCCATCCTGGCAGTGCCACCACGCTCCAAGGCAGGCTCCAGAGGGCTTGGGGCCACACCAGGCATGCAGGGTGGGTGCTGCAGCCTGTGGGGGTGATGAGCCCCCTGTCCCCGAGCTTGGATGGCTTCAGGAGCTGGAGCAGCAGCCCCTAGCCCAGGCACAGAAGCATTTGGCACTTTGTGTCCTCCCTGCAGGGATGGAAACAGCCTGGAGCTCCTCACAGGGCTGCAAGGAAGGGTATGAGGAGCAGCCATGGCCAGAGCTGCTCCTCAGCCAGCCTGAGCCCCTCCAGCAGCACAGGAAGGGACCTTGCACAGCTGCAATTGTGCTTTGCTGGTGCTCCCATTTCAGTGCAACTGGGGATTTAATGCTGCTTCCAGCTGTGCCCATCTCCCTTTTCTGCCTTTTCTCTGCTGGACCCTGGGAGCACTAGCCCAGCTCCAAGCCCCTGGACATTGCATTTCCATTTGACTTTGCTCCTGCTTTGGAAGCTGGGGGAGGCTGGCTTGCAGAGCTGCTGGACCCTGGGAGCACCAGCTCTGAGTGCACATGGGCAATGAGCAG